CGAAGCACCTCGTACTGACCTCCACGCCACGCCTTCCTCCCACCAACCCTCCTCCCGTGCCCCCCCCCTTCCCCTCCTCCTCTTCCTCTTCCTCCTCTTCCCACTCCTCCCCATCCCCCCCCCCCCCCCCTCCTTGCTCCTGCCTCTGTTCCTGCATCATCGTTCTCGTCCTCAAATCTTCGCTTTCCTCGAGACCCTCGTCCTCCTCCTGCCTCTCCTGCCCCCTTTGTTCCAATATCTCCACATCTACAGCTTCCTCCTTTTCCTCCGCTCTACATCTCTCTCCTCCCCTTCTCCCTCCTCTCCTCTCTCTCGTGTTCCCGCTCTCCTCCTCGCACGACCTTGACGTCATCTTCGTTCCTCTGGGCCCACATAACAAGCCTGCAACCAAGGCATGAGCAACCTTCACCAGCAATGCTCCTCTCTCTTCTCCTCTCTCCCTCCTCTCTTTCTCCCTCCTGTCGCCCTCTTCTTTCTTCCTTCTCCTCTCTCCCTCATCTCCTTCCTCTTTCCTCTCACCAGTGCCCGAGCTTCTGAAAACTTTGCAACGTGTGCACGTGGATAGATCGTTCCCATGTCGTCTCGTCGTATTTGTCTAGCTCCTTCCACACCGATATGATCCCGCTGCTCCTGTTCCCGTCCTTCTCCTTTATCGCCGCGTCTGCCGCAGGCTAAGAGATCAGGACTCTCCCGCCTGTCCTCGTCCTCGTCCTCGTCCTCTTCCCTGTCCTCGTCCTCGTCCTCGTCCTCGTCCTCGTCCTCGTCCTCGTCCTCGCCCTCGTCCTCGTCCTCGTCCTCGTCCTCACCCTCGCCCTCGTCCTCGTCCTCGTCCTCGTCCTCGGCTCGTCCTCGTACTCGTCCTCGTCCTCGTCCTCGACCTCGTCCTCGTCCTCACCTTGCCCTGCTCCCGTTTCTCTCGTCCGACCCTGTCGTAGCGGCTCCATCTCGTCAAATTACTTGCTCCCACCTCCTTCAGACTCTCCTTGTCCGACTTCCTCAGGCCCCTTCTCGATTCCTTGTAACGTTTTCACCTGCTGCTGCTGCTGCTGCTGCTGCTGCTGCTGCTGCTGCTGCTGCTGCTGCTGCTGCTGCTGCTGCTGCTGCTGCTGCTGCTGCTGCTGCTGCTGCTGCTGCTGCTGCTGCTGCTGCTACTGCTGCTGCTGCTGCTCTTCCTCCTCCTGTCTCTCGACCTTTCCTTGTTTCCTGTGCTCGTCTCCGCCATCCTCCCATCTCTCCTTCACTCTCCTCCCTCCACATAAAACTCACTGAGAATCTTGTTGTCTTCCATAACTTCATTGACAGTCACGTTTGGCAGGGCTGCAAGCGGAATAACTTTTTCACATAGGCCGTAAGGAATCTGCAAGAAAGGTCAAAAAAAGACCTGCAAGCATCATCATCATCATCATCATCATCATCATCATCATCATCATCATCATCATCATCATCAACAACATCTCCATCATCATCATCATCATCATCATCATCATCATCATCATCATCATCATCATCATCATCATCATCATCATTCCCATCTTCACAAGCACCATTCCTTCCTCATCTTCATCTTTCTATCATCACTGTCATCCCCCACCACAGCCATAACAAACAAGCAGCAAAGAACCACTCCGACATCTCCATCATCCTTACTGTTGTGTATCCTTGAACCGCCTTGAACGCAACTGCTTCTGCCTCATTCTGTCTCCATCCTCCACAGGTCAAGATTGGCGGCCCTTCCTCCCTGTGAAACATTTCAACTCAAACGCTCCCCTCTCCTTTCACCTTCTTTTCCTTCCTCCTTCCTCCTTCTTCCCCTTCCCTCTCCCTTCCCTCTCCTCTCCTTCCTGCCCCTGCCCCTGCCCCTGCCCCTGCCCCTCCTGATTCTTCCCCTCCCCTTGCTCCTGCTAGCAACATCCCTCCTAGTTCGCCTCACATCTCCCCTGCCTCTCCAGCAGCTCCTTCATACCTGTAGTTGGCATCGAGGAACTCTCGGATAGAGTAGCTACCAGGCTCTCCCTCTCCGGGCGATTTCTCACAGTGCTGCGCAAAGAATAGTAAGAAGTTGAGTCCGACCACGGCTTCCCCCTCATCACCATCTCCCCCCCCCTTTCCTGCTGCTGCTGCTGCTGCTGCTGCTGCTGCTGCTGCTGCTGCTGCTGCTGCTGCTGCTGCTGCTGCTGCTGCTGCTGCTGCTGCTGCTGCTGCTGCTGCTGCTGCTGCTGCTGCTGCTGCTGCTGCTGCTGCTGCTGCTGCTGCTGCTGCTGCTGCTGCTGCTGCTGCTGCTGCTGCTGCTGCTGCTGCTGCTGCTTCCCCTCCCCCTCCCCCTTGCCTCTACTACTCCCCATGCTGCTGCTGCCTCACCTCTCCAGGAAAAATCACTCCGGGGAAGAAGCGAGACTGAGTCTTCTTGAACCAGGGGTAACACATCATGTTCTGGTCCATCAGGCGCACGTCCTGCCGCACGTGCTCGCACACTTGGAGGTACCGGACAGTGTTGGCGATGTTGTCCCCTTTGCTGAGGATGATCGCGCGGAGGGGCAAGGGCTCGAGGATGGATCGAGCATACAGCTCCATGTACCGGTTGCTGCTTTGATCGTTCTTGCTGAAATGTAGCCCAGCCTGGAGAAGGAGAACCAGGAGGACGCAAGGTCCGCTCACCCAGCGGGGCAGGTGAAGCTTGCGGCCCAGCAGGAGTTCGTGCAAGGCCGCAAGGCCAGGCATGATCAGCATGGAGCCAACAAGGTGAGCCTGGATCCAGAATCTTTTGTGCACTCCAAGCATGAGAGGATCGGAGGAGGGGATGTTGGCAAGGAGATGAAAGCTCACCCAGTAGAAGGTGAAGCAGAGGAGGAGGAGGAGTCCGAAGCTGTCATGAGCTGCGCTTCTCAACGTTGCAACACTCCCCACGAGGAGTAGAGGTAGTCCAACCCACAGGAAGTTCTCGGCGAAGTCTTGGGAGTATAGCAGCGCCCACCGGAGCACAGACGTGTATTCCATGTCCTCCCCCGCGTACAGTCTGAACGTTCCGTACTCCCTCCGCAGCAGGTGCGTGATCAACCCCGTCATCGTCGTCTGATCTCCCCAGCTCCCGAGAGCTCCTGACGTCGAGGAGAGGATGAGAAGCAGATAGGGCGAGAGCCCGGCAACAAACGCCAGCACCAGTGCGCACCAGTAAGAAGCTCGTTGAGTATTCTTGAACACAATGAAATCGTGATAGAGGACGAAGCAAACGATTGGCAGGGTGTAGAAGACGATGGTATGCTGGTTTGAGAATCCAAGCCCGGCAAAGAACGCTCCGAGCACGCTTGAGCTCCATGCCTGCAACCTGAGTTGTTCCTGCACCTTGTCTTTCTCCTTCCCCTTGACTCGCTTTGCTTTCTCACAAGATTCCAAGAAGATTTGAGACAGCAGAAGTTGGACAGACACGAAGAGATTGTTCAAGGAGAACACCTCATTCTGCACGTAGTACTGCCATAACAAGGGCGAAAATGCAATGAGAGCGGCTTGAGCGCCAGCCATCTCGAGGGCATTTGCGTATCCTCTGCTCGAGTACCACCTCCTACACGCCTCCATTCCTATCCAGCATGCAGAAGCGCCGCACAGACAAGAGAGCAGGTTGCCACCAAGAGCTCCAAGAACTCTCTCCCCCTCCTCCCCCTCCCTCCTCCCGACCCCCGCTAACTTGAGGAGCTCAGCTACCGCCCTGCTTCCCCAGACCATCAGCGGGTACCCGGGGGGATGAGCGACACCTAGCGAGCATGCGAGGTGGCTGAGCTCGCCAGCGTCTCCTCCTGCTACAGTAGGGTAGCAGCTCCTCACATAGACTGTCAGCGCCACTGCCAAACAACATGCCCCCCAAGCCGCTGGCGCCATGGATCCTTCTGGTCGAGCAGGGCCAACATTCGAACTTTTCAAGTTTTCAAGTTTCGAAGTTTCAAATCCTGTGCCGCAATGGCGGGAGGAGTGGAGGCGGTGGCGGCGCGGGTTGTCGGGTATGGCCTGAAGAGCGCGAGAGACGAGGGGCTTGACCAAGACGCAGAACAAGTGAGGGAAGTCTTCAGGATCGCTGTCCGGAGGCTGGATGATTACACCTCCTCCTCCCTCCATGCTACCATCCTCGGACGATTCCGAGCGTGCCTTCTTGGATTCGTCTTGGGCGATGCGATAGCGGTAGCCAAGGAGGGCAGAGACATCAAGGATCTGAAGAGTTTGGAAGGCTCTCTTGGAATGGGGGGGGATACGAGTCACAAAGTGGTTGCCAGTAAGGCTGCTGTGGTGTCCGGAATGTTCGAACTCCCTCTGGGTTCTTGGAGCGAGCGAACGGCCACGATGCTGTGTGTTGCGGAGAGTATATGCCATCTCAAAACTCATGACAGCAACGACATCATGATGAGACTCTTGCGGCTCTATCGCGTCGGGGTCGGGTCATGCCAGCCTGGTAGGTGCATGCAATTCGACAAGTTCATGGTGAACAGCTTAGAGTCTTTCGAGCGACAACAAGGGCAGAAGCAAGCTAGGATGAATGCTGCAAACAACAGCAGCGCAGCATTGTCTCGAGTGCTTCCCATCGCCATGTTCCTGTACTCACATCCAGCTGTAGCTATACAGACCGCCTCCGTCGACACGTCCTCTACACACGAATCTCTCAGTTGTCGCGATGCATCGCGTTATCTTGCTGCCTTGCTCGTGGGAATTTTCTCGTTCCCTCTGGACTACAAGCTTGAAGAAATCAAGGAAACAGTATTCTCGAAGCGCTTCTGCCCTGCCGGCCATTCGTGGTCATCGAAACCTCTCTCGAGCGAAGTCCGAGACCTTGCAGATGGTCGTTTTGATGTGGAGAAATGCCCTGCGAACTTGAAAGATGCCGCACCAGACGTCTTGTGTCAAGCTATGTGGGCCCTCAAACACTCGCAAGATTTTGTGTCCGGGATCGATCTGTTGCTCAAAGAAAAAGCAGGTATTGTGACTCATTTGTTGTGCTTGTTCGTAATCGCTTGTGCTCCTACAGATCGGGCAGTACTTTCAACCTACGGCTGTTTAGCAGGAAGTCTTTATGGTGAAGGACAGCTGCCTGAAACCTGGATTTCTTTGCTGCACAAGGGTGAGAGCATTGGATCTCTCGCTGAGAAGATCCATGAAATCGCCGAGAACGTACAGGTCGAAGTGCAAGGAAGAACAGCAGGATCGAATGAGTGAAGACCTTGAGATGCCTTGTGATATGGAATATGCCAGTGATTTTGTTGTAATATCTAGATAATAGTTTTGACACACCATGCTCGCCGATGCTTCTTTGGCCGAGCATTGATCGATTTAGTCCGTTGATACCGTGACTCTCTCGCCAGGCTTGAAGGGTGGCAAACCCTTGTAAGGGCAGGAAGCACACCGGAATGCATCGCCAAGATAGCACTGCGCACAACAGTTCTCAAAGTCACAACCCAGTCGCTTACGCATATGACAGCGCAGAACATGATAGTGGAATGGAAACGCACATTCCCACAGGCGGACGTCGGGGCTGCAGCCGCTGCCTTGCCTCCATTCTCTTCCATCTCAGCTCGGCCACAAGTACAGTTCTTGCAAGCCTTTCCTGCTCTTCAAGTTACAACAGCACAGGACCCCGCAACAGTGAACTCACTTCCTCCGGAAAGCTCACAGTCACTGGCAGGTTTGGGGGCTGCCTTGAGGTCCTGGATTGCAGTCTTACTCTCCAAACTTTGGAAACATGGTGTTGTAGGGTACCTTCTCACTCAAGAGAGAGTCTTCGTCCATGATCTCATCGTCCTCATCCGCTGACACTTTCCAAACCTGGGCAACGCAACCTTGCATGTTAACCTCCATGCATGCCGGAGTGAATCAAGGAAGACAGAGGTTATGCCTTTTTCGTCTCTTGCGCCTCCTGCTTCGAGCGCTTTATGCTCAAAGGCACCGCAGAGCCTACTTCCCATGGTGGCTTAATCGCTGACGTCTCCACCATAACACCGTCGCCGTCGTTTTCCGTGGTGTCCACAAAACCAGCAAAGATCTACAAGAAGAATTCCGTCAGCATGTGCAGAGACATGTGGTCATGAAACACATACCAGATTGCTCGGCCAAGCGTTCTTGGAATCATCAGCCTTGCGATGCCGAATACACACGCTTCCTCCCTTCTTGAGCACTCGGAACAATTCTCCCATAACGCTTGAGTGGAGAGCAAAGTTCAAATCAGGCAATTCCACATAGACTCGATCTGCCCATTCACTCGAAGCTTGAATCGTGACTGCAAAGGAAAAGAATCTCTTTTAGAAATGAACAATCATAGGAACGAAGATGGCGCAAACAACAAATTGATGCAAATGTGAGTTGTTCATGATGAAAATGCATGATGTGGGTGATTTACACGATATCTTTGCAATATATTCTGTGTCATGGTAATATGTTTCAAATGTTGTTACAAATCCCAAGCACAACACGAACGAGGGACACACAAAACTTTCGAAAACAGACAACAAACACGTTCTTCGAGCGCTTTTTAGCTCGAAGCATTCACAAGATACTCACAATTTTGCGTGAGAGCCTGAGCAGGTACAAGGACGAGGTCGACACTCGTGCCCAGCATGGCCGAGATGCGCCCGAAGGCTGCCGGCGGAGCGCACGCGACGAGGGTTGCGAGCATGGCAGCCCGTGGAAAAGGAGCGGAGGGTTCCTTCAGGGGTAGGGGTACCCATGGGGGGTCTGAACAGTGTGGGTGCAAGTAAACTACTTCATGGGCACCCACATGAAGGACACAGACCCCGTAAATAGAGGGTATTTGAACGGGTACTAATCAATTTCATGGGGTACCTTTGGCATGCTACCTTCGGAGAAGGGGTAGTGATGAGAATCTGAGTTTGTGGGAGGGGGTGGGGTAGTACGTTCGCTGGGCACCAAATCACGCAAATTTGGCCAAGTTGTGCAGCAAGCAGAAAGAAGTTGAAGGAAGCTAAGAGGAAGGCAAAGAGATTGTGAAGGAGACAGAGTGAAGATGGAGTTGAGGACGAAGGATGACATCAAGGACAGGATGACCTACTCAGCAAGACATGACGGTCAAGCCAAAGTCTTGTGACTGATAATACAATGTCACACTAGCAGACAAGGAGCGTGAAAAGTGATCCACGGTCTCTGTTGTGTGAAAGATTCGCATACTACATGCATGAAGCGAGATTCAAGGTCATCCACACAGATCCGAACTTAACGCGGTCTTTCAGCGTTCCAAGTCGTCCTGCACCTTGTCTTGCTCGAAATACTCCTCCAAACCTCGACCACAAACGAGAGTGTCTTTCCAAAAAATCTTACATTATTTCAAGATTCCAGGGCAAAAGAATTTAGAATCGGAGCTTGCTGAAGAACCACCTGTTCTTTCCCTGTGTGTATCGCTCCTGGAAAGCCTGCTTGATAGCCTTTCTGGCCTCCTCCCTCTTGGACGGGTTGGTAACTACTTCTGGGGAAATTCCCATGGGCTTGAAGTCAACATCGACAGAATAACTGATTTCAGATGTCAGAAGGAGAAAGTGGAGAGAAAGTTTGCATCTAGACAGACCGGGTAGGCATGAGATGGTTGAAGTTGACAAGTTTCAAGAAGGGTTTGACACGGGAGCGCTTCTGGACCTTCTTCTCGGACATGGACTTCTTCACCTTCAATGGCGCCCTGTCGATGCCCGCTACAATGGCATGTCCGTATTTTCTGCCGTCGGTGCCATCGTCGAAGGTCTTAACAATGATTCCCTTCTTTCCAGCCATGCGGCCGTTCAAAACAATGACAACCTTCCCCTGCTTAAGGCTGAAAAAACTTTCGTCAGCATCCACCAGATGATACCACAGTTTCCACCACATAGTTTAACAGTCATGACCACGTTATGTCATAATACAAAAGAGTTTCGGTGCGAGCAAAGGGAAGCATAAGGAGTGATTCTTCTCACAACATCGTTCTGCATACGTAAAGCCAGCTCGTCCTGGCCAACAAACTGAAAACAAGAAGCTAAAACATTCCATCTCACACCAATATACGACACGGAAACATCGCTTTGGACACCAGGAGTTCTTGAACACCTCAGCTTACTCCAACAGCTCTCCCGACCACAAAACATTCACACCCATCGAGCAACATGCTGAACAACATCCAGCTCTACGAGAACCGGGCATTCAGAATCAAAGCAACACACGTTTCTGTGATCTTGTCCTCTTTCATCTCCTTCTCTCCCATCGCTTGCGCATGTTCATAGGAGGGGAGCACTTACAACTTCACCATGGCGGAACACGAGCTCCTGTGCACGAGGGTTTTTTTTTAATCCACCCCCGCCTCCTCGTGGCCCCTACCCTCATGTATCGACTACCCCTCAAATGCACAACCTCGTGGGAATACTACCCTACCTAATATTCAAATACGGGTTGTTTTTCGATGCAATATGGCTAATATGTACCGGTATTCAATTTGCTCTACCCACCCTTATTCTTTGTAACCCCGGAGTGAATTAGCAGCACCCACCCAGGCCAACATACCTAACAATTTTAGTCATGGAGCTGTGATCAATAGATAATACAGTCCGCCTCAGAATTTGAATAGTGGGCACCTTCTTGATTTCACTTAGTCTACTCTTTCCTCTGACTTGAGATAGAAACCATTCCGGGGGCAGCAAATGAGTCTAAAGGTGAAGCAAGGGTATAACGACAAGTGAACAATTAATAAGAAATTGTCAAGCACCGGTACATTCTCGTCATAAATATGGACAATTGTATGGTAGGGTAGTCCCTTTTGCCTGAACGATCCGTAGGGGAATGGAGGGACAGTGAGACAGGGGGAAGCGACAAACGAAGGCGCGCATTGGAGGAGAGCGAGAAGAGGCGAAGCGTTGAAGAGGACGGGGAGGAGGAGGATAAGAAAAGAGGGGAGGTGAGGAGAGATATTGTTCCTGCTGAATATCCCCCTCATCAGTAGAGTCGCGCTCTCTGCACAAAACACGTAAATTTTGATCCGACTGCCGCACCTTTCCGCCAGAAAGCTTGAGTTTCAAGCGTTAAACGCCATCTCAGCCAAAGACTGTCTCCAAGTCTCAGATATGGGAATACTTGCAACGATCACTGAGACCGTGTACTTTATTGCGGAGACATTCAACCCTTTCTGGTTCATTCCAGGATGGTTTCGATCGTGGATCACGTATGCTTTCTCAACGTTGGGGATGCTAGGCTCGTTTCTTGCTCTGTTTCTCTACCGTAACCAGGTGCACTGACTGTATCCACATGCTGACTGCATGCTTATCTCTTGTGTGCTCAGAACTCTCTATTGTATCATCCTGAAGTCCCTGGTATTCCCAAAGATCCCAGAGAGAATCCTGAGAGGTATCGGAACCCCGGCGAATGGAATATGCCGTATGAGGACGTCATTGTAGGAGGCTGATCATCGAATGATATTTGTACTCACCACTTTGTGATACCAGGTTAAGGCTGAAGACCAAACTGAGTTGCATGGTTGGTTGATCAAACAGCCAGATTCTGCGGCGGCGCCCACCATTGTGTTCTTTCAAGAGAATGCAGGCAAGTTTCCCATCCATGATTGATATCGGAAATCTGACTCCAAATTATTCCTGACAGGCAACATGGGTCTGAGATTGCCCAACATGTACGAGCTGTGGAGGCGCCTATCTGTGAACATTTTCATGGTCAGCTACCGTGGGTATGGCCGTTCACAAGGCGTGCCGACAGAAGAGGGACTGAAGATGGATGCCGATGCGGTTGTCTGACTGCAGCTCCTCGTGTGTTGGTGACTGAGTCGAGTTTATCACTTTCCAGGTGCTCAAATATGTTTCCACGCTGAAACAAGTGGACCCAAAGAAGATCGTCATCCTGGGGAGGTCGTTGGGGGGAGCTGTTGGAATTCACATCACCAGCATGTAGCTTTTCATTGCTCCTGCGTTACGAACTTCTTATCGCGCGAATCTTGAGGTATCCGGAGAAGGTGAAGGGCCTTATTGTGGAGAATAGCTTCACGAGTATCGCAGACATGGTGGACGTTCTGATGCCGGTTGGTTGTTTCACTATGTTTTATTGGAACTCATGGCTGTTTTGCAGTTTCTCGCCATCTTCAAGGGTTTGATTCTTCGCATTGGGTGGAAATCGATTGAGAGCATTAAGGATATTACGACTCCTATCTTGTTCATATCAGGAGCAAGAGATGAACTGGTGCCGCCAAGCCAGATGCGAAAGTTGTATGATGCTGCGGTGAGTTGTTCTCTCCCGAGTTGGTTCTGGTCGCTGGTTTTGACCCTCCTGGCATTGCAGCAAACAAGCATCCATAGAACATGGTACATAGTCCCAGATGGAGGCCATAACGATACGTGCATGCGGAATCCTCGAGAGTACTGTGAGAAAGTCAAGGAATGGATGCAAAAAATCGGTTTATGAACCAAAATAGTATTAAACGGCATATTCACATAGTCCTATCTTGCTTTATTTGCAGATTAGTTCACAGGCTTTTTCAACTTCAGGCACAACAATTTGTGGAAGATTTGGTCTGCAAAAGGTGCAAACCAACATCATTCTTGCTGGCAAGTTGTGAATGATCACCCCCTCTGATCTGTTTCTAGTAACCGCACAAAAACTGTTGAGTGTTCTTCTGATGACAACAAAACGCTTTGAATGAAGGTCAAATGAATGGAGATACGAGCTTGACTGTGATGAGGATTCGTCAAGACCCAACTCAATACAAGAAAATGCTTGCGAGAGCTTATTTACTAGTTGGACGTTGGCTTGCATTTCTTTCTCCAAGTCTGTGTTCGGGCGTGAAAGCATTATCCTCCCTCCAGTTGTCAGAATTACGAAGTCCTCTATGACTTTCCTTTTGATCAGAGCATAGAAGTTTTCTGTTGCAAGGTCAAGAGATCTTTCAGGCTCTTCGACCTCGTCCACCTCCTGGGTTGACTCCGAGGACAGTGCCCGATGAGCCATGGAAACGATGTCACCAGCTCTGCGAGCACTCTTGCAACGGAAGGGTTGCTATGCTCTCCAAAGAAATTATGATACACGGAAGAACTCTCCTCACAACAAGCTGAGCAACCTCACTTGTGTTCTGCTACTTCAAGGAAATCCTTTAGTTGTTGTTTCCCCATTCCCGCCAAAACATGCTGTTTGTCCGAGTGACAGTTAGATCGGTTACATTATTTGAGAAGTCGTTACATCCGTTATGGTACTATATAAAGTTATAAAGTTTACTAGTTGCCATAACCCCCTAGAAAGGGGGGTGGTAATGTGAATTTTAAGGGTCCCCAGGTCTTAGTAAGTGACTAGGAATGTCCTAGGATCTTATGAGAAGTAGGTCCTTTCCGCCCAAGTTTGATTTTCAAGCAGGCGGGGGCGAATGGCGGGAGGGGACTGACACTGTGAGGACTGAGCGAAGCGAGAAGGGAGAGAGGGGAAAGGAGAACTGAAGAGGAGGTCCAGGAAGAGAGAAGGAGATTCTCTAAGAGAAGTAAAGCCGAAGAGTGCGAGGGATTCGGAACAGAACACTGAGCCTTGAACCTTGATCAGGAAGTTCAAGACTTCAGACTGTGACAGTATTGGGTCGCAAAATAGTTGAGATTCAAAGATCACGCGGCGTGTGGCCTGTTTTTCTGCTAAAGAATATGCAACTTAAAATCAGATTACATTACAGAACTGAAAGATCAGCCTAGTAAGAGCTGAAAGTAGACGAAGGAAGAAGGTTGTAAGTGTATCGAATGCAGTGCTGGCGAACCAGGAGCATCGCAAGCGAGACTTTCGATCTGTTTTTATCCATTCCCCTTGCCACTGTTCCATCATCCTGACGCTTGTTGAAAGTTGACAGCTTGCATGCTGCCTGGCGCATTACCGCCTCTCCCGCGGGCAAATGTTCTGGACATCAAGTACGACCTGGAGAAAAGGAGAGAGTGGGAGTCGACGAGGACGAGGATCGGCGATGAGCATGCAGGCCTAGCCAAGTCTCCTTTCGTCACGAGTCTTTACATGCAGGCAGATCGCCATGACCATGAGGATGTTGTTTCCCAGCAGCCCGTCCATGAGCTTCTGCCGTCGTTTCAAGAAATTAGGTACCTGATCGAACAGCATCGGAAATCTGCTTTCAACTCGGAGTCAAACAAGGATGGCAACGTACGCACATCCATTGCACTGCTTACCTGTCTGTGCTCTAAGCTTCCTCTGGCAGACTGTATCAACCCCGCAGACTACGACTGGGCTCTTAGTCAAACCGGACGCGACCAATGATGGTGTAGGCCGCGTGACGAGCTACATTAGCGGGAGTCCAGCTGACCTGAGCGGGGAGATCAACGTGGGAGATGTGCTTGTAGCTGTGGATGGACTGCCGTTCAGTCACCCCGAGGCTCTTGTCCGGATGAGAGGAGGAAACCTGTTGAGATCCATCGGGACTCAAATCCGCCTGACGATCCAGCGGCCGGGCCATGGCGACGCGTTTGATCTGACTCTTGTCAGAGACTCGTTTTCCTCAGTCAAGATCAAGAGAGATATCTTTGAAGCGATCTACTCCGCCCTTGAAACGTCAGATGATGCACTTGAAACTGACGGGCAAGCAGCGATGCTTGAAGACTTTGCCAGCACCATACGAGAGAAACTGATAGACCTTGAGAAATCACACGTGGATTCCTTGCAGGCGCTTCGATCTCAGGTAGAACTTTCATTATTGATGACGTCTTGGCGTGTTTTCCCTGATCATCTTGTTATGATGAAAGATATTGGGAACTGAATCTTTGATGGATCAAGTGGCCATGGCAGCAGATCGAGCAGTCGAAGAGGGTGAGTGTAGTATCCACACTCATTCTTGATGAATGCTCATGGGGTTTCCATACAGTTCAACAAGTTGTCGCCGAGCACAAGTTTGCGGGAAGCAACCATGTATTTGAATATTGCTTGTTGATCAATGTAGAATGTGATTTCTGTTTCAGGCAACAAGTATGCAACATAACGAGTAAGCCTGCAGGAAGTTATTTCGCGTGCAGAACCTCACTTGTTTTTTCAGCAACACTGCAAGTGATCAGAGCTTACGACTGGTCATTGATAATGTGATGTTTCTATAGTTCTTCAGAGTCACTGACACTTTCATCTCGGCAGCTTCAAACCAAATGCAAACACCTTGAGGAGAAACTGAGAGAGAAAGAGAGCTTCACTTACGTTCAACGGGACTCAGAAGTTTACGACAAGGAAGTGCTAGATCTGCAGTCCGACATACATGCACACGAGGTAGTGACGATGAAGACTGAGATCATCAGCCTCCAAACTTCCATAGAAGAAGAGAGAAAGAGACATCTAGAGGAGATTGCGAGCATGAAGCAGGTCATATGGCTGCATGCGATCCGTCGCTGGTTGAACAACTCTTGCCGATACGTCATGAGGGGGTGGTACTACTCCTGCCAGCAAGTGAAAGCCACCAGAAGATGCGGTGAAGTGCTCAAAACCAAGTACTGGAGGAGCCTGACGAAGCATGCCCTTTCGTGCTTCTGCAAGTATGTTGACCGCGAGCACAAGCACCAGCACTTGGGCGTGGCGATCACGTCTCGACGGATTTTTGGGAATGCGAGAAGGTGGATAGACGTATGGAATGAGCTTGCACAGGGCAAGAAACTGCAGCGCAGGTTGACTGAGACGATCTCCAGTCGAAGATTGCGATCTTGGTTTGTTTGTCTGAGGAAGAGGGTCCGAGAGTTGAGGTCCGACGGCCAGCCCAGGCCGCAAGGGACTCAGTCAGATCCAACGGTCAGTGCCCCTGAGCAGAAGCAAACGCATGATGTAGATTGCCAAGTCAAGTGCGACTTTATGTCTGTCGAGACCCAGTGCGATCAGGCGCATCCTACTGCATCAGAGGATGTAGGCTGCCAGTGTGAACTGAGCCGCAATCATTTCCATGGGCCCGACATTTCTCTGTCAGGAGCAGAGTCACAGAAGAAGCAGGAGGAATCTAGTGCTCGGCTGGAGCTGGACCTCTTGACCGAAGCCTTGTTCAAAGCACAAGAAACCATCAAGTACAAAGATGAGTTGTTGAGAGACGCATACTCAGCCGACATGGATCTGAAGAATGCTCTGCAAAACATGCACAACCAATTCCAGAAGGCCAAGCGAGAAGCCGATGATGAGAGGAGAAATGCTACCAGGCTGACGTACGAGGTTGAAAGGTTGGAATCTCGGATATCCTCCCTTCGTGAGGAGAGAAATTCACTGAGGGAGCAAGTAGAGGACGGAAGGAGTTCAGCGAAGCATGATTCCCAGGATTGGGGGAGGAACTGCGGGAAATGCAGCATGCAGGAATTTGAAAATACTATCAGCTCCAGGATAAGATCTCCTCAGCCTTTGACACTGGAACCGCTCTCCTCCAGCACCCTGCTGAGCAGACGGAATGGCGGCGGGTTGATCGACGGTCCATCTCAGGGCGAGAGAGGGGAGGATGTGCTGGACAGACAGAGACAAGGAGGCTCGAAGAGGTCGTGGATCCTGTGCCTGAACAAAGCTCTGACTCGACAGAGTCGTATGATCGGAAAATCGTTTCGACTTTGGCGGGCGGCGGCTAGGGATGCCGTTGTGTCCCGCAGGATGAGAACGAACTTGGTCCGCAGGCAGTATCTTTCCAGGGTATCCGATTACTTCGATGTAAGTTGTGAGAGCTGGGGGAGAGGAGCTGACTATGATGTGCAAGATGTGGTTTCATACCATCCTGTACTTGAGACACATCTGGATTGTGCACTCTGTCATGATACATAGAAATCAAAAGAAAATCAGCAAGAAGGTGCGACGGCAGAAACTTTCACCCCTCTTCCGCAGGACTGATGTGTGGAAAGCAGGCGATTGCTGTGTGGCGACATCACTCTCGGAGTGAGAAAGCAATCATAATCAAGCTGGAAACCTTTGAAAGCAGGAAGCTGCTGTGGAGAAAACGAGCCGCCTTCTCCAGCTTTGGGTTGTTCCTGCTTCGGAGCACGCGCGGCAACACGTCGCAGAGCAACAGACTCCAGGGCCTCGTCAGGGAAATCTCAACGTCATGGAAGAAGATCACGGTTCTCAAACAACTGGGCCCCAAAGAAGAGAAGCAGGTACTTCGTGCCAGCCTGTACCGCTACTTGCATTCTGATCCATCCCCTCCCCTTTCCAGGTCGCCAAGTTCGAGATGGCGTTCAAGAGCGCTGAGAACGTCATTCTCGAGCTCTGCTCCAGGTGTCGTTGCGGCGGCTCAGACGCGCTTGCCTGACAGCTCCTGCTCAGGCTGCAGGTCATGGAGTCAAGAATGAGACAAAAGGCGGAGATGTCGATCTCGCCGACCAAGACGGAGCCGCTCAACACAACCTTCAGTCCACAGATTGCCCGTCATGCTCCTCCGGCGCCCGGAGATGTCTTGGCCTCCCATGCTCAAGGGCGAGGGAAGAGGAGGAAGGAATTCCTCCTCAAGGCTGGATTGCCTTCAAGCCGATCGAACAACTTGGGGTTCGAGCCCTCCCATGACGTCATCGTCACTCCCAGGCATGCTCTTCACCCGCATCAACTGCTTCACTGACGACCCACCGCAGGACCGTCGAGCCCAGCATGAGCTCGGTTATTGCTCTCGTGAGCTCTTGTGACCCTGTGACCGTCTTGTCTCGCAGATCCTCAGGCGCGATGTTCCGTCAACCCCCAGCAACTACACCACTGGACCTGGACAGGTGAGAAGGAGGCGAGGTGGCGCCGCTGCTGCTGCTCAGTCAAGGAACGTGCAGGATGGGAGGAGGAGCAACATTCTGGTCGCCAAGTCGCCAGGGCTGCTGACACCGAGTGGCAAAGGGATCGAGATAGACGAGAACAGCGACCCAAACTTCCGCATCTGCTGAGGAGGAAAACAGAGACTAGAGCTCCTCCTCCTCGAGGCCTCAGTTGACATCATGTCATTTTTAATCTGGTAATCTTTCATAGAAAAAAAGATCGTGTTGACGAAAGCATCGCTCTCGTGAACGACTGGCCGTTTATCCCAGTACGATGTCCTCCTCCTCCTCCTCGCTCTCCTGGTTCTCAGCCTCTGCGTTCGCACCTTCCTTCGATTCCTCGTTGGCAGGTTCTGCATCCTTGTTTGCGCCATCCTCGTTGTACTCAGGCCTCATTGCTAGTGCCTGCGCCCTGGCTTCCAGCTCAGCCTGTCGAGCTGCTTCAGCCGCGAGATCCTCTGCCCTCTCAGTCTCGAGGCGCTCAAGTAGCGCAGCGAGCTCTTTCTCGAGGCTCTCTTCCGTCTCCTTGACCATCTTCTCGAACTTCTCGAGCTGAGTGTCCTTGGGGATCCAATAAATGTGGGGTTCCGATTTAGTCCTGATGAATCGCGACTCCAGCTTAGATTGCTTCTTGGCTCGCATCAAGGACAGCTGATGAAGCATCTCCTGCTGCTTGGAGCGGATCTCCCGAATCTTCTCCAAATTCTTTCTGCGCTCCTCACGCTGTTGGATCTTGAACTCCTCCTTGAGCTTCTCACTGTTCTCTTTTGCCTTGGTCTCCACTTTGACTTCAAGCTCATGTCGTTTCTGCATGATCTGGCTTTTAGAGATGTCCTCCTCTTGCTTTTTAGCTTTTTGCAGCTGTCCCAACAGATTCCCGAACATTCTTCTATTTCGGCCCCGAATGTCCGTCTTCTCGGCAGACCTAGGGGTTTTGATCTCTTTCTCCCCATCCTTTGCGTCATCCTTCTCTTTCTCCTTCTTGGACTTTCCATCCTCGTTCTCCTCGTCCTTGTCCTCCTTCTCCCTGGCCTCCTCCTTCTCCCTGTCTTTTTCCTTCTCTCTGTCCCTGTCCCTGTCCCTGTCGTGCTTGTCATCCCGATGCCTCTCGGAGTTGGAATCATGACTCCTTTTAGGCCTAGCCCTGGCACGATCGCGATCATCGAAATCTTCGCGCATTCTGCCAGGATTGTCCATGCGGAGTTTGGGGTTGTAGTCATCCTCCTCATCCTCCTCCTGCTTGTCCTCAGAGCCTCTTTTGCGCCTTCTCCTTCCACCTCCCTCCTCACGATCCTCGTCGTCCGAGGCTTCTTCTTCCTCCTCACTATAGTCCCTCTTCCTCTTCCGAGGCCCTTCCGACGCACGTGTCACCGCGGACTGCACAGAGAACTTTGGAGCATCCCATGGATGGGGGGCCCTGTCGTGATCTCGGTCCATATCTCGATCCCTGAAGTCCCGCCGAAAGTCCCGACGGTCAAAGTCGCGATGATCTCCTCTATCATTGCGGTCGAACCTCCCTCCGAGACGATCGCGCAAGTCTGTGGAGTCCCTGCCGTGCGCAAGTCAGTCTCGACCCTTCTGACGATGATCGCAGATCATGCTCGTACGCTTGCGGACGGAAGGGCCTCCGTCGACCATCCAGATCGCGAAGTTTCAATTCAGCTTGCCTGCAACGAATCGTCATGATAGTTACCGAAAGATCGAAGAGGATCGTCCCCGGGGGTAGAAATAGGACAGAGAGAAAGGAGGAGATGAATAGAAAAGGAAATCGACGATGTAGAGAGTTGAAAGTATAACAATGTTGATGATGCCGACAGCACTATCATGCCAAGGCAACGCAAGTGAAGTCGGGGCGCAACCCTGCAGAGGATAGCAGAGGAAGAGGATGAGGCACAGTAGCCTTTATCTCGCAGACATGATGTGCCCAACAGACAGATGATTGCACGATCCAAGAACAGCACAAAGAAAGGAGGAGAGCAATATCATGACCCGCAGGGGCTCCACCACGAACAAAGGATCCCATAAAGACCCATGGAGGGAAGGCTTTGGAGGTGGAGCGAGCGCAAGCACAGGACGGAGGCCGACGCACATGCGCATCAGGGCAGATGAGGAGGAGAGAAACAGTCTGCATTGCGACATGAGCATGGCCATACCTTCGCTCCCTCTGCAGCGCCTGCAGGTCCGAGTAGATGCTGAGCGGCTCTCCCGCCATCCTCTCACGCGCCACCTGTCTACCCCTACCCACCTTATCAATACCCTCTCGTACATACCACCCATGTCATCATCACCCCTACCCTTATCTACACCTGGTCGTGTGACACCCACCGGTGTAAATCGACAAGTATCACCCCGCTCTCAAAATTAGTACCCCCATTCTTGATGAAAATGTATGGGGTACAAAGGGACCATTTGGTTGATTGCAATGTGTTCACTTGAGTACCCACTCAAAGACATCATAACCCCCTTCGACAGGAGTAGTACCCGTGATAATGTGATGGAATAAGAGGAGATTTGGTTGTGGGGGTACATCGTCACATGCCCGTAGAAGGGGTACTTTGACTAATGAGGGACCCCCTAGGATGGGGGTACTTGAGATGTAGTAGGGTCATGCGTACACCGGTGATAGATTATTCTGAACGAAGCTTCTATGAAAGGGTCGGTCCTCAGAACTATTTTCTGGGGGTAGTATCAATAGAATAATTTCGTGTCAGGGGTAGGGGTCCTCCACCCAGGGGTGCAATTCTTTTCTCATCCTCACCCCAGTCCTAGGATCTCATATGCCCCCACACCTGGAGTCCTAGCATTGGGAACCGGTACAATTGAGTGTAAGTATCTAGCCTCCGGGTTTGAGTCCCCCCCCCGGGCCCGGCCGGGCCCGGGCCAGCTATGTCTGCAAAATTCATGCTCGCCTCAGAGAAATGTATTAGTAAACTATAGGGACATCAATTGATGTCAAGGTGACTGATTGAGGCAGCAGGCCGAGAGCCGGGGGGGGCATGGCGGCGCTCGGGCCGCAGAGATGGCAGAAGAAGTTCGAGGAGGCGGTGGAGCTGGACAGCTGGGGGCAAGTGGAGGAGGCAAGAGAAGCGTATGAGAGGTTAGATGTCCCGCAATGTCCTCCCTCTCTCTCGCTGCTTCCTCGTGAACGATGGGCTCCTCACGTTTCCTTGCCTTCTTCGAATCGCACCGATGAGTTCGGGTCGTTCTCCTCACCAACCCTGTCTAATGCTCCGAGAACTCACCTCTTCCCGCTGATATGAAGATCCTCTCCTCCCCTGATGCTCCTTGCGACGAATCAACATCCTGCCTCCATTTTGCTTGCAGCTACTCCTGTTCGATCCTTGCATCCATGCCGTCAACAACGCGCGTTCGCTTTTTCATGATGCCAGTGCATGGAGTGATGAATGTGTCATGCTTGTGGTTCTGTAGTCAGTGTTCCTTTGCGAGATCTGGTGGAATTTCAAGGAGGTGATCTTGTGTTCTTGCTCATTGCGCTCCCGCAGTGTCGCCCAGTCGTTACAACAGGAGCTGGCAAATGCGCAAAAGAATGCGAGAACTCAGAAGCAGATTGTAGCAGTGAAGAACCTGATGGTAAGCCTCCGTCTCAGATCCTTTGCGATCCGACGAGGAGACGACATGATCAGCTCCGAGAATATGAAGGCCCTCAAGCCAGGTACTGTGGCCTGAGACTACACGCTCAGCTGCAGCGTTTTTCCCGTTGCCCCTCCTGCAGTGAGATTGAGGATGTCTGACTTGGAATATTCTATCAGTGTTTGAGAACCTCTTCATCAAGGACAAGAAGTTCCCTCTCGACCTGAGCGAGGTCGACGAGGCCGAGCTCAAACGAGCGTGAGCGCATTCGGATACAGCTCGCTTCCCATCCACTGACGCCTGTCCTCCCTTGCGCAGGCTAGGTATGGAGCTCGAGGACGATGAGAATGAGGCCGAGCTGTTAGATTCTGTTCCCGTCGCTGCTCCTGCGATCAGCATACCGAAAGCACGCGGCGCCGCAACAAGGGAGGTAGAGGGGGACAACGACTCTGATGAGCACAACGTGGCCGGGCAGGCATCGAAGACGAATGGATCGACGAGCAAGGTGGCGAGACTTTGTGTCAGCCTCCTAGTTTGACCTCTGTAGCAGAAGACAAGGACAGTGAAGATCACCATTGTGAAGATAGGGTTAAAGGACTTCGAGAAGTACCAAGATCCTTACATCACCTGCTTCGTCGCATGTAAGGCCAGTAAAGGAGCGTGTGCTGCAAGCTGATCGCAAACGCTCTTGTGCAGCGGGTGGCCGTGTGCTTGAACCGAAGCAAGACACTCCGAACTCGACGTCGCGCTTTGACAAGCACATCAACTTCGGGCATACGATCACCCTGAAACAAGGGTATGAGACGATTCTGCCAGGTTGGTCTGCATGAAGGAGGTCGGCATGATGGAGCGATTGAATGCAGGTGCCGCCATTGTGTTTGAGTTCAAGCACTTCAAGCCCAAGAAGGACAAGATCAGCACCAAGTGCTGGGCGTTCTTGGAGAGAGAAGACGTCAAGGAGGGTGTGCACAACCTCGAGCTGTGAGTTGTACATGTGGCATGTTTCGCCGACGTCACCATGTGCGGCATCAGGTACAAGAAGCCCACCGACGTCAAGTGCAAGAAGTTGAGCCTTCTTACCGTCAAACCTCTGTAAGTATTCCCTAAACTCCTGCTGCTCCTCCTGACGGCGGTTGGCAGTTACCTCCAGATCCAGATCGAGATCGGCGAGCCCAAGTAGACGCGGAGAAGGGAGTGACACAACATTTTATTCCCTTCCCTTCAGACCGAAATCTTCTATGACACCCTCCTCTCCTTCTTCCCCTCCTCCTCTTCCTCTCAATCAAAGACGCAGTGAAATCAACAACGTGACGACTCTCTATCCTCAAAGTGACGTCCTACTCTACATTCTCACAGCGTCTCTCAAGACGCCTCCCCAGGGGTTCGACGCCGACATGGATCTGAAGTCCGCTCCCACGTAGCAGACGGTGCCCAGGTTGTACTTGATGTAGAACACAGCAGACACTCTGAACGTGTCGTACATGGAATATCCTGTGAGCGGGATACTCTCGATCTTGACCCCGTACACAGCATTCCCCGACCCCTCCTCGAGCCTCGATGGCCCGTACTGGAACGGAGTCCCGGGAGTGTTGCGATCATTCTTCCACCAGGGCCCAGGAACGTATGGGACGTATTCGAGCTCGAAACCGAACAGCTCGTTCATGGTGGACAGCGACGTGTATCCTCCTAGGAAGACGACGTTCTTCCCCGAGCTCACCCACGCAAGGAAGTCCTTCCTCCCCATGCCCCCTAGCCCCACCGCTCCTGTCAACACCGCTGCTGGAGTGTCGTAGTTGTCCCACAGGGCCACACGCAGTGCCTGGTCGTTGAAATGGACGGGGAGAGGGATGAGCTTGACGGCGTAGTGATGCCGTTGAAGGATAGCTGCTGGCGCTCCCCCGTCAACGAACACCTGGTTCACATACGCTGGAAGGTGCTCATCAGATGTGGTAGGCAGAGAAAGAGGGCAGAAGAAAGAGGGCAGATGAAAGAGGGAGGAAGCGGATCAAAGATAACTCCTTCAGCAAGGGAAGAAGGAAGGATTTGTGGCGGCGTGGGGAAAGAGAGACTCACTGGAGTAATCTGAGTGCTTCGGCTTGGAGACAGCAAAGAAAGGAACAACATTGTAGTCTATCTCGGAGGTCGACCCCGCCTTCTCACCCCCATCCCTGTCAACACGTCACAGTCAACATGCCGACGCACATGCGCATACCCGCTGTACGTGTACACCACAAGCGCCAGAGCGAGAACACCTGCACACCACGTCAGGGCCTGTTGCCCTCGTTCGTTCGTTCGTTCGTTCGTTCGTTCGTTCGTCTACCTGTACACAGTAGCAATCTCCTCATGGCTTGACTCTTCTCTCTCCCGCTCCTGACGTCCGAAGGTCAGCGCCCCCACCTCAAAGAGCCCGTGGGGCACGGGCGAGAATTACCAGGCGGGACGCACTGCCTCATGAGGCGACAGCATTCCACTCATAGCGCACAGCCCTCAATCAACTCTGGAGAGGATCAAGAAAAATTAGAGACGTTGCAAGCACCCTATCACAGCGAAGATGCTGCCTCTTCCTTGCGAGACTTGCAAGTTGCTTCCTTGAGCAAACCCAGCACTCCACACAATCAACGCTCTCCATGCTCTCTTGCGGGCTCTGCATCGACACATTTCCTTCTCATCGGCATGTCTCTTCTCATGGATAACTCATCGCGTCTCCTTCTTCTCATTCCTCTTCACCTCTACCTCCCTTCCTATCGACGATCTCCTGCCCTGATCATTGTGGGCCATCGTACTATTTCCGTCAACTCAATTAGCTAATCTTGTTCTGGGGAAGTGGCAAGATGACTCCCGGGGGTTCGGAAGTTCCGGCCGCCGGGCCGGGCAGGGCCGGGCGCCCGGTGACGGTGCCAGTACGGTGGGCCTCGCCGACTCCGGTCGGAGCCCGATCAGCAGTCCGACCCGGACCATCGGACCGTCTGCGGGCCGGGGCCTGACCGTGCTCAGTGACAGGCTCCCGAGCCTGGCAGTGCAGCGGCAACCCGGTGCCCCACTGCAGTGCCGGCGGCAGCGGCCGGCGTGGCCCGGGTACCCGGGCGGCGGTGCTTTTATGGCAGCTCTCTATGAAAACGTCATATATGGGTGGTACTCGTAGCCTAGAGAGGGGGTAGTGCTTTCCCTCTCAGAGGTAGTCTCCGCATAATATATAACGGCTGTATCGTTCTTCACACACTACCACTCTAGCATTAGGTACCGGTGCTTTTATGGCAGCTCTCTATGAAAACGTGATATATGGGTGGTACTCGTAGCCTAGAGAGGGGGTAGTGCTTTCCCTCTCAGAGGTAGTCTCGCCGCATAATATATAACGGCTGTATCGTTCTTCACACACTACCACTCTAGCATTAGGTACCGGTGCTTTTATGGCAGCTCTCTATGAAAACGTCATATATGGGTGGTACTCGTAGGCTAGAGAGGGGGTAGTGCTTTCCCTCTCAGAGGTAGGTAGTCTCCGCATAATATATAAAACGGCTGTATCGTTCTTCACACACTACCACTAGCATCCGGTACCGGTGCTTACGGCAGCTCTCTATGAAAACGTCATATATGGGTGGTACTCGTAGGCTAGAGAGGGGGTAGTGCTTTCCCTCTCAGAGGTAGGGACCTACCTGTCCGAGTGCGCACTCGGACGGATGCGCACTCGGACGGATGCGCACTCGGATCAACCTGTGGCCCCTGTATGTCGCGTGCTTCCCATTGTGAGACAAGAGGATTGATGCCTCAACAGCTAGGGAATGTCAAGACCTTCAAACTTGAGGGATAGGGTTGGAGACCTCATGGACCGTGAGGGCAGTGGAAGCGTTTTGAATTCGAACATGCGATGCGAATGTCACAGTGTTCATGGTGAGGACTCCTATGATGAACGGTTTTCATGAGGTAAACTTGTATAATGGCAATCAATCAATCAATCATTGGCTTCGCCTCGACGCATGATTGACAAGATTTAGCAACACAAATGGATACCGCCTTCTCATGGAGTTCAGCAAGGCAAGCTTCCTATTCATCCTGGATTCGTAAAAGAACCGTGTCTGACACCCTCATAACGGATCTGAGTAAAAGCGAGTTGAGCTGAGGTGTGTGGACATCGTTGCTCTGAAGTTTAGCAACATATATCCAGTACATGTGATGGTTTAATGTGCATCTTAACTTTGTTCCTGTGTTCATTGTAATTAGAACATGAGTAATGTAATTGGACCATGCAACACCTCGTGTGCATAGAGCTGTTCTTCATCCTGCTTGTACTTGCTTGCAACATCAACTACAACAGCATAAGCTAACATCTCACACACCTTGCAAGCGCTCGTTCTGCGCAAGCATTTCAGTTTCACTGCTAATCCAACACTTCCAAAAATGAATTAAAAAGAGAATAAAACTCTAAAAGTTAAGGTCATGGTACAAATTATTGACTGATTTTAGAAGGAAACTTGAGCGCTTTCTTCCTATATCACAACGTCTCAAAATCAGACTAAGGTTAAAACCGCCGTGTAACGACAAGGACAGCTAATAATCCTAAGGTCTAAGGTCTGTGGCGCCCATAAGCCCCCTACTAGCATCCGGTACCGGTGCTTACGGCAGCTCTCTATGAAAACGTGATATATGGGTGGTACTCGTAGCCTAGAGAGGGGGTAGTGCTTTCCCTCTCAGAGGTAGTCTCCGCATAATATATAACGGCTGTATCGTTCTTCACACACTACCACTCTAGCATCCGGTACCGGTGCTTACGGCAGCTCTCTATGAAAACGTGATATATGGGTGGTACTCGTGGGGTAGTGCTTTCCCTCTCAGAGGTAGGTAGTCTCCGAATAATATATAACGGCTGTATCGTTCTTCACACACTACCACTCTAGCATTAGGTACCGGTGCTTTTATGGCAGCTCTCTATGAAAACGTCATATAGGGGTGGTACTCGTAGCCTAGAGAGGGGGTAGTGCTTTCCCTCTCAGAGGTAGGTAGTCTCCGCATAATATATAACGGCTGTATCGTTCTTCACACACTACCACTCTAGCATTAGGTACCGGTGCTTACGGCAGCTCTCTATGAAAACGTCATATATGGGTGGTACTCGTAGCCTAGAGAGGGGCTTTCCCTCTCAGAGGTAGTCTCCGCATAATATATAACGGCTGTATCGTTCTTCACACACTACCAATATAATAGCATCAGGTACCGGTGCTTTTATGGCAGCTCTCTATGAAAACGTCATATATGGGTGGTACTCGTAGCCTAGGGGGGGTAGTATATAACGGGTCATTTACCGGTAAAGCTTCTGGCATGGAACATTCGAATATGTTGAAAATGTTGATGAGAGGTTTCAGTCTCAGCATGCAGAGAAGAAAAGGAAGACTAGGAGGAGATAAGCAGCTGGTTTACAGTGTTGGTTGGAACAGGTTACGGCAGATCACGCTGTCAAGACCCCAGCATGTCCCCAACAGGATCAGCAAGCTGGTGGCCGTGGCAGTCAAGCAAACTTCGTATGGTCATTGCCCACAAGGATGAAGTCATTGCCCTCAAGGAAAAAGTCATTGCAGAAAAGGAAACACAGCTGAAAGATCTCAAGACCTTAATGGAAACACAGCTGAAAGATCTCATTGCAGAAAAGGAAAAACTCATTGCAGAAAAGGAAAAACTCATTGCAGAAAAGGAAAAAGTCATTGCAGAAAAGGAAACACAGCTGAAAGATCTCAAGACCTTAATGGAAACACAGCTGAAAGATCTCATTGCAGAAAAGGAAAAACTCATTACAGAAAAGGAAAAACTCATTGCAGAAAAGGAAAAATTCATTGCAGAAAAGGAAACACAGCTAAAAGATCTCAAGACTCACGAGGAAAAACTCATTGCAGAAAAGGAAAAATTCATTGCAGAAAAGGAAACACAGCTGAAAGATCTCAAGACCGAAAAGGAAACACAGCTGAAAGATCTCAAGACCGAAAAGGAAACACAGCTGAAAGATCTCAAGACCTTAATGGAAACACAGCTGAAAGATCTCATTGCAGAAAAGGAAAAACTCATTACAGAAAAGGAAAAACTCATTGCAGAACAGGAAACACAGCTGAAGGATCTCAGGAGCCAATGGGTGCAACTGGAGATGCAAACTCTCCAAGAATTATCGCGGGTCAAGGTCATAGCCAACAACCGAGCTCTGATTGAGATCGCCATGAAACAGACAAGAGCGGCAAGTCTCTCACGAAAGGTTTGGAGATGTTTGTGAACGAGCATTTGTTGACGGTAGCCTCCGACAAAAAGACATTGAGTATGTATGGCAGAGAAGTCTGTAAGAAGCTGCGAGACTTTGGCTTCGCAGGGAAGGAAGAATTTGTTCAGAAAGAACTTGAAAACCTCATGCACGAGATCTCAAAACCTTTACACAGACCGCACGTATCGGGTAAGATTTACACAGGGTATGTGGTTGGAGGGGAACCACCGCTTGCAGAAGCGCTTGCGATCGTGATCTCAAAACTTCAAGAATGCAAGTTCGTGCAAAACCTGGATGTCCTGCTAGTCGATGGGGAAGGGAAATGCAAGTGCGTGATAAGTAATGGAGACATCGTTGAATACGGTGAAGCGTAGTCAACGATCTACATGTCGTTATCAACGTGATGTATTGCTTTCTGCCAGTGAATGAGCCGGTTCCTCCCCTTTGAGAAGCCGATGCAGCCTCTTCGGGATTTTTTTGCATATAAACGAAAACAAAGAAGCGTATCCTTGATAGCAACGAGTTCCCTGTCCGTCGTGTCATAATTGCGCTCGGTAGCAGTCAACAGCCTGCTGTAGTATCCAACGACGCGAGGTTCGTCTGGTCGCGCGAATGAGGAATCACTGGCTAAAAGATAGGCTGAAATGATTCATTTCAGAGAGTACGCACACAGGATTGCAGCAGGTCAGAATGACATGCAAGTAGTCAACGAGAATACATCAATGCACGGCAGCAGCTCGTGTGCCAGCTGCTCGTTGGTTATCCGGCCGGGCCGGGCAGCGAAGACAGCCCGGACGCATTCGTCGAGGACGGTAGCTCTGCGAGCCTAGCTCTGCGAGCCTTACAACTTGCATCATCTTACAACTTGCATCATCTTACAACTTGCATCAGCTTTGTGGACATTCCATGGATTTATATTGCTCTTTTTATCATTACTATGTTGAATTGAATAATGCTCATGCATAGTGAAAACCTCGACTACAAAATGTCACAACCATTGAAGGTGTTGGAGGTTTGAATCATCGAACATTTCCATGCTTTCTGTTCTTTGTCACTGTCCGAAAATAAGCCTGAGACTATTCATATCAGCATTTTAACCCATTGCAGCAAGAAAATTCCCAGGCTGTCGATCACTGTTGCATTCGTCGCTCCTAGTTTCCATCAAACGACGAAACAAACCTTCTCCCGGTAGATCTACTGGCAAAGTGCCATGTAGGGCTTGACAACGGTCTTGCATGGCACGGTACGAAGAGCTTCCTTGTCAAGATGCGCCATGTTGCAGTTATCTGTAACTCAACCTTGCACAGGCCGTGAGCGTGTGTAAGGCATGAAACTCAGGAGGAAAGAAATTTCGGAGGAGAGCAGAGAGATCCAGAAGCGTTGTGACTGAGAGGGCTGAAGAATGCAGAGCGAAGAGTACAACTTGCAAGGGCAGGCAAGGCCCGAGGGAGGAGGGGAAGCTCGGGGGGAAGCGTGGAAGGGGGGGAAGGCGTGTGCCCCGGCTTCAAAATTTAAAAAGCCATTAATAAACAGGATTTGGACAAGAACCTGAAATATTACTAATTAGATTTCAGGTATAGCTAAAAATCGTCGAATGACCCCCCTTTCGCCACCCACTACCCTCCAGACTACAACTTCCACAAAAGCGTGACCCCAGAATGGCCGGGCCGCGCCAGCCCGGATGCCAGGCCGCTGACGGACTGATCATCGGATCCCGGCAATGCGGCTACAACTCAGTGTTCCGAAGACCGGATCCGATCGGGCCGATAATCCGGGCCACCTGAGTCCGATGGGATGATCCGGGGCTCCCCGGGAGCGGGATCGTACCGTCGAGCGGGTGACTCCGAACTCACTGACACGGTCAGGCTGTAACTAAGTTCAAGTACCGTACTGTAGCCTAGTAGTGTAGTAGCCTGACGGTCGCTCGGAGGCTCGCCGCAGGCTCACCGTCACAGTCCGACCACGGCATGCTGCACTGCCCTCACTGACGAGCTGAGCGGCCTTCAGAACTTTCACAACTCGCGCAGCCAGCGCGCCGCCGGACTCACGGGAGTCAGGAGTGCCGCAGGGCCCTCAGCCTCGGCGGATCATCGGTGGACAACCGTGGCATTAACTCAAGTTGTGATCGGACACTGCAGTGTGGCTGCCCGGGAGTCTGGCGGCTACCGACTCAAGGAGAAATCTCAACATCATTACTTTATTCCAGTGCCTTGAAGACTCGGAGGTCATTCTCATCGCTTTAAATTATGTGGATATCCCCCTGTTGTAAGCAAAAAATCTAATTGGTATCAACTGAGCATAAAAAAAGGCAACGTGGTAGAGAATATGACTAATCTGGCTTATTGCTTATACACACACAGGGACCAGTTTCAGATTGAAATTCCCGGGGAAATCACTTGTTCTCTTCATCTCAAGACTTGCCACGGAACAAGACCTGAGTCGCATTAATGTTCTTTTTCAAATCATAATGACAACATCTTTGCAGGCTAATCAACTTCAAAAATTTCTTGAGAGATTGTGCATTCTTTCGTCAAAGAAAGTATTGCCACATTGACTTTGTCGTGAGCTGGTCTAAAAATCAATGTATTGGTCCAACGCAGAACTTTCCCAAAAACAAATTCCTGAACTCTTTACTTCGCAACTCAGCGTTCATCTACCAGTACTTGAAAACACCTCTTTCACCCTTTCCTCGATCTAGTAGACTCCTCCTTGTCGAGCTTGATCTCTTGAGAGCTGCATGGCGAAGGCTCTTGCGGTATATCAAGACCTTCCAGCCACCCCTTGCCCCTGACCCCCCTCGTCTCCCCTTCGACCGTGCTCCCCCGGTTTCTAATCTTTTTTTCCTCCAAGATTGATGACGTGTAGTAAGGATGCTTATCGGCACTTGATGACAGCCTGCTGAATCCTGGAAGCTTCACGACGGTATCTTTCGGAGCTCATGGTCAGCAGCCCCGTGTAGTAAAACGTCAGGTTTCCAGGCGCACGATCAGTTTGCACCTAGGAATACCCGTTACTCAGCCGTTATTCGGAGGAGCAGACTTGAAAGTCTCAACGCCCTGAAAGCTTTACTCAAAGTTGAGTTAAAAATCAGTACGAGAGCACGTCGGTACGGAACACCGCCTCGGCCCCCGGGCCGGCCCGGCCTGGCAGTGCGGCAGGCTACTACGCTCAGCCGAGGCAGTCAGACTCAGTCCGGCTGACTGACGGTGAGGGCCCGGGCCGGCCCCGGAATGCGATCATTCCGTCATAGTTGATCAATGGTTCAGTGCCGTGACCGTCACTTCCGAGGCTCCTCCAGCAACTCTGGTGACGAGTCCGGCTGGCAGCCCACTCGGCGTCCGACCGTACCGTACAGTACGAGTCCGCCGGCCGAACAGTACGAGTCCGCCGGCCGACTCAGGCTCGGATCACTGAGTCGGCAGTGGTCGCATGAATCATCCACCGGTGGCACCGGCCAGTCCGACGGCGCGGCCCGGGGCCGCGGCTTACGGCGGTACAGTACGGTCAGTACTGTACGGTAGCCTCCCGGTAGTGATCCGGCCCCGGTCCGAAAGTCAGACTCTGAGACAGGTTGACTCTCTCAGTGATAATCCTACACACTACTCAGATAGCAATCAGGCAGCTCAAACGCACAGAGGTGTGTTACAAACTCCCGGAGTCCAACTCAAAACTTCGGACGGTCACCAGGAACGGTTAAATCCTATCGTCACATGATTTGTAAAATTTCATTAAATGGAGAAAAAATAGATCTATTCGTCGAGAAGGTGTGCAGCGTCAGTGTAAAGAAGACCCGCCTGCTCGCTCTTGTCGGAGTCCCTTCTTGCATGCTCGAATTTCAAAGCCAGCTCCCTGCCTTGTTGGCTGTTATTGCCAGCACCCATTGTAGACTTATCACATGCTCTGGGAGTGTAGGAACGGTTCTCGACAGCCTCTTGAGCATACCTCCTTGACTGGATGTTCTCGACGTTCAAGGTGCCGTAAGAGACAGGCTGGGCCCGCTGCCTGACCGGTGAAGTAGACCTCGAAGAGTTGACAGACGATTCTCCCCGACAGCTCTTCAGCCATTTCTTTGCCTCAGTCACCCCCATAGAAGTAGAGAGCTCTTCAAAAAAATATAGATCTGCGCTAGACAACACCCTTGCTGTCTTCTTCTTGGTGAGAATTGACATTCCTTCCTTTTCTGTGTACTCGTAATACAGCCTGGAGCTGTCCAGCATCACCAGCTTGTCTCAGGAAGACTCCGAGTAAGGAAGAGAGTGGGAGCTTGCAGTGTAATGTTGACAACAATGGTGAATCAGGGGGGATTTTGTGGCAGGGTCCCGTTTAAGAGAGCCTCCCCTGGAGCAAACTGTTCTCCGTAGAAACCAGTTCCCTACGAATTCGTAGCAATGGATGTTTCTGGCCTCGTATGCACACAGCAGAGAAGAGTGCACCAAGAGAAAGAGTGGCGAGGATGAGATATAAGAGGAGAGAATGTATTTGAGTCAAGGGAACAAATAGGGGAGGAATGACAGGAGGGCGTGTGAGCAGGTCGAGGAGAAGGACGGGAGGCAGCAACTTGATGAAGACCGAGGGCGGCGTTCGTCATGATCCGTGATTGTGCTGACACATCTTCAGATACTTCAGATACGGAGCTGTTGTCAAAAAGACTCTTTCCGCTTCCAAGACTTCTTGGTGGCTCACGGGATCAGTGCTGAGGTGTCTGAATTTCTGAGGATATCCCCAGTTTTTATCGATATTGAGGGGGTGGGGGGTAGGAGTTTTAGAGGATCGGGACTTTACCACAAGGTCTGCTGACTTGTAAAGGAAGAAAAAGTCAGCAAGGTGTTGCTGACATTGAAATCTGAAAGGTTGTGCATTTCGTCAACACAATGGTATCCGGTACATTGCGCCCCAAGGATTGCTGACGTAACCAGTCGGTAGAAAAGCGCATCTTCTCGTCTTGCTGACCATACATTCCGCATCCCTTCACATCAAAAAAAAACAATTTTTTTTGTATGGTCTTGTCGTTCTCCAAGGTAGGGGTGTAGGGACCAAAGGGATCTGGGGGGTGGGGTAGTTCGAGTGACCGAAAGGATTTGACGAGGAACAATCGACGATGCGTCAATCCGCATGCAGGCAGTGGCACGGGGAGAAAGTTTCTGCCAACATGAAGTCTTGTCTTGTTACAATCGTTTCGAATCTGATGTCTGATTGTCATCAACAGATAGCATGGCGGAGTTTGTTGACATGACATGAATTGCTTAGGCCTTGCGCAATGAACATGAGTATGTGCTTGCCTGGAACAAATGATAGACAAAGGGGATGATTATTCATATCATCAACATATATTGATATCACTGAAAGGTATGATATGTCTGCTGGCCTCAGTGTCGAGGGTCCATGGAAGATAGTTTGTATAATTTGTTGTATTTATAGTGCTGTTGTCACGACGGCAGTCTTTTTCCTTGCTTCTTGTCTCCTTGCAACGAGTATCCATGTTGCACTGAGGATACAGCCCTTATTATTTCGTATCTTGATGCAATCAAAAGCATTGACATTTGAATTGCTTCAAGGTGTTGATTTCCGTTGAAATGTCCAAACGTTTGACGATTTTCCCTAGTTTGTCCTGCTAAATTACTAGTTCCCTCGTGTCGCCCATCTGACTATCATAGATTTTATTCTTCAAGGACATCCTGAAAAATTCCAGACGAATTGATATGAAGTCTTGCTTTCCCGTTTATGTTCTTATGTTGCGGTGCTAAAGTACTCAACAAAGCCCTTGAGTGAATTGCTCTGTATGCGTGTCTCTGACGCGCAATGTTCACGTACCAGAGATATTACTGCGCTACTGCGGTTGGAATCTCGATCTTGTACCTGCAGCGATACTCCAATAGACAGTTGGCTGTAAGGAACGTATCTTTGCCCTCACTCAGTCAATTTTGCACTTGGGAGCATGCTTTTTGCTCGGATGCACCTTAGTGCCGTGAGATGTTACTAAACACTGAGACATTGATGCAACAATGCGCATCATACACGACAAGCAAATTCCACAGATAGATTCAGATTGTGTGGAATGTAGAGCTGAACGAAATATACGGGATATTTTCAGGTCGAGATCCTCCAATCCTCGCTGACGACTAAGTTGAGAAGCTAGCTGGGGAAGGGGGGCTTCTCGTCAAGGCTAAATGTAGGAACCGAAATTCGTTTCGTTAAATTTGTTCAACAAGATCATGTCATTTGTCGCATCGTGATAGCACAGAATCTGAGGATTTCTCAAAATTCAACAGATCGTTCTATCTCGCCACGTTTTCCTCTGCCAAATATCGGTGTTCTTCCCAGTGTTTCGCGATGGATGAAATTGATGCACACGTAGAAATGGATTCAGTTCATAAATTTCAGAATAAACCGATGTGATTTGACTGATTTATTATTGTCGAAGGAACACAGAAGTGTACCCTGTTGCTTTACTGTGTTGACACCTCAAGACGCCACAGGACGTGATCCAAAAAGCTTGCATTGATGCAGTTTTTGGTGTAAAGTGCCACAGGCAAGTTATCAATCAACAAGAGAGCTAAGAAATATCCTCAATGAGTTATTGGTACGGTTTGGGAATTCGGTTTGAGAGGCTTTGCCCCTCTCCACCGACTGCTCAGCGTGAATCTTTTCCACCTTTTCATTTCAAGGAATGCTCCGGCTTTGTCTAGATTCCTGATACACTTCGTCCGTCGCAAGAACAGCAAACCTATTGAGTGGGGCATCTCCAACGAAAAGCCACAAAGTAATCTGGTTTGTCCAGGAGTCTCGTTGTACGGGAAGCCGATCAGTTCATATTTTCGCCCTGCAACCATGCTGCGAACAGCAGCTTGCGAAGCAAGTCATGGCAATCAAGTATTACTGTCTGAAGAGCTTTTGGCGCCCATTCGATCATCGCTACCTTCACTCTTGTCCAACGAGATTTTCTCGATGCTCTGCGCTATCTGAGCCGGACTGCTATCACTCATGCCGTGCTCCTTCTCATGAATGGAGTTGAGATTGGCGGCCTGCTTTGCTTCTGTGCTCTTGTTCATTTTCTTCAGCTTGCGAGATATCAAGTTTCTGATCAGAGGTGAGTTGGCCGAGGGTTGTGGAAACAATCGGGGAGAATGGGAAGGGGATAAGCCAGGATTGACCTGCCCTGCATGTCCTGGACCATCACCTGACTTTGGTGATGAAGAGACACTTCTAGACTGAGCTGATGAGTTCTGATACCAGACAGCAGCTCTCTGCCGTCCCAAAGAGCGCGACAGTTCTTCGAAGAAGTACGAGTTGGTGACTGCGTTCATCGATACTGCGCTTTCATTCTGAAATTGCTCTCTTGAGAACGAGTCCGAGCGGAGAAGATTCGATGAGCTGGCAGACTCAGAGTCAGAGTCATCCCTTCGTTGGCCATCCTCGCCGTCCCTTGGCCGATTGGGTTCCTCACTCATTGTTGTATTCTCTCAGTTTAGCACCGCGCTGAATCACATGAAGATAATGAAGCCCTCCACATTGTCTGATCCCGCGAAGCCTTCAGAATGCTGTGCTCACAATCAACTGTCTGTTTGCCCGTGTGCCTTGTGCTGCAAGACGCCGATAATCTCAAGGGACCTGTTGCAAGGGATAGGCAACGATGTGAAGCCTGGAACGTGTAGTGCGCTGGAGGAGGGGAGGAACGGAGCGATCTGAGAAGAGGAACGATGTACGTGTAAGTCGATGTTTGTGCTTCGGCAGCTCTACCGCTCGCCAAGAACAAGATCCACGCGGACGATGCATGCGCCGTTGAAGGTCTGGGTCCTCGCCATCGGAATGATCTTTGTCACCGAGGGTCCGTCGGCGCTACAAGTCGGAAAGGGAGTGGTGGGTGGGGTAGTCAGGATTTTGAAGTACGGGTGTGGGGTCATGGTCGGATGAAGTGAAGAAGGGGTGAGTTTCACAGAGAAATGATATGGTGGGGAGGGGTACCTGGGGTCATGACGATTGGTCTGACGGGCAAGGAGATTGGGTGGGTGGTAGGGGGTCGTCGTCGTTTTACCAGGGAACGACAGGGTGGGGGTGGCCTTTTTTTTGAGTTGAGGTTTAACCCCTGCAGTTTACCCCGTGCACAGCCCCCACCCCCACCCCCTAGGGACATATTACACGATCAGGGTACTACCCCCGCCAAGTCCAAGTCACGAGGATATGGGTGGGTACAAAACAATACGAACGAGATTGGCCAGGGACCCAGCATACAAATGGTGGACAAGGTGGGGGTGGGGGTGGGGCAAAGAGGAAGGAGTCGAGCCTGTGGAGAGGTCGCCAACGGAGATACGCCCCTCTGTAAGCTTGCTGACTCAAAAATATTATTAAGAAGTTTTAAAAAGATCTTTTGAAAGTTTATTTTTCTGTTTTTGTCTTATAATCTTCTTTTATGTCAGCAGGCCCTTCACGATCTGTTACTACACTTTCGACTACCCACCCTACCTTCGAATTTAGACTACCCCTACCGTAGGGTTCAATTTTGAAACGGCTCATTTCATCTCCCTCATACCCTTCAATTGCGCCGTGACACCTCAGCCGATCACCGACCGCTCATTGTTCCGGGCCCGCCGCAGCGACTGTAACAATCGGAAACGGAAAGATCCGAGTGGCGGGGCGCCGTCCGATCCTAAATGGATCGGATGATCACCGTCGTCACCGTCACTCAGTCGGCCGGGCCAGGCCGGGGGGGGCGGGCCGGGTCGGACCGTTGTACTATGCCGCACCACGGTACTGTAGTAGTTGAACGCCGCCGCCGGTTTCTACGGTTGAACGCCGCCGCCGGTTTCAAGTTTGCTCACCCGGGGGGGGGGCGGCCGCGGCAGCCCGTACGACGGTCACCGGGCCGGTGCGGCGCTATGCCGCAAGTTCAAACCGCGGCCGGGCAGCTCAGGCCGGGCTCGAGGAGCCGCTCCGCCCGGCCGCCGAGTCCGGCCCGGCGGCGGCGTCACGGGTTCAACGGCCCCCGTTACACTGCGGCACTGCGGCACTCAGGCTCAGTGCCATACGGTCGGCCGATCATGCGCCCGGCCCGGCGGCGGCCCGCGGCAGGATCACTGATGAGCCTCGGAGTCGGACTGTCGGAGCCTCCGAGACGGTGCGGCACCGCCCGGCCGGCGTCAGGAGTCCGCCGAAGTTTATAGTACCGTGGCCTAACTGACAAACGACACGCGGCCCGGCCGCGGCCGCGCCGCGGGCTGGCGCCCGGCTCGCCGGATCTGAACTGAGCCTGAGGGACCAAAAAAAAATTCAAGGGACCAAAACAAAATGAATGTATCCCAAGATGTAGGGCGCCTCCAAAAAAAGCTTAGGATTCTCTTTTTTGGTAAAATTTGAAAAAAGTGCCCTAAAATCTCAATTTGTTGTCTATTTATGTTTTAGAGCGCTGGCATCGGGGGATAAAATGATTAATAGGGACCGGTCCTACAAGAGAAACCTTGATCAAGAACGTCATATCGCAGTTTTCAAGGGCGTTAGTATGTAAAAGGACAATTGAACAATTTTAAACTTTATATCGTGGTACTAATTTTCAGTACGACCGGTACACAAGGGAAAGAAAAACACAGGGATAGAGGATCGCACAAGTAGGAAGGAAGGGGGGTGGGGGGTGATACATGCCTGTAATCCCATGGGGTGGGTCAATTGATACCCCATCTAAAACCCACTGCAGAAGGGGTGAAGGTAACGGTTACATTTTGAAAGTACCGGTGCTACAATGCAAACTACCACAGTGGTACAACCAAGTGGTACAACCAAGAGCACCACAAGCATTCCATCGTCGCCTTCCAGCTTATTTCATCCTTCATCATCCGGTATGCACTCATTTCTTGCTGTTCGCCAAGCAATCCCTTCCATCTTACACCAGTCTTCAGGATTGGGCCTGGTCACATTGCAGGATTGGGGCAAAACATCGCTATATATCATCGGAACTGAAAACACGCAGCATCAACATAGGGTGACATGGCGACTGAAAATGGCAGCACATGCTTATTTGGACCTGATTGTCAGTTGCGGGAAAGAGATGATGCACAGTTGAAGGTATGTCGAAGTTGCCAAAAAAAATTCCATATTCTATGTGCCTTTCAACGTGCTAATAGCGATCAAGGGGACTATTGCGGAACATGTCAGAGAGGCGGCAAGAGACTTGGGGTGGGTGGCAGGCCACGTAAACGGACGCGGGAAGGAGATGAGTTTGACATACTGTCCGTTTTCAATGATCCCGACGCACCGATGGCAACGAACAGTGACAGCAACGTGCAAGCATTCAGGAACTTAGAATCGCACAGGGTCAGCATCAGCACGCAGAAAACCTACGCATATCGCATATTTGCAATGATACTTTTCTTCAAATCCTTTCCAGCTTATCATTGCGCTTTGACTGAGTCTTTGGATAATTTGAAGGTACCACTTCCATATGAACCGCTTCTCGCTTTTTTCGGATATTTGTCTGGAAACGACCAGTTGGCCCGAGCAAGGAAGAGACCACGAGGTCAAACTGGCAACCATGATAGTAACGCATCAATAGCATTGGAAGAAGCTTCATCGTCTATGCACATCAACCAAGACATCGGCGAGGATGATGGACAAGAGGAAGATGAGGTCCCGGAGGTCCCGGAGGTCCCGGAGGTCCCGGAGAATGGCGAAGGATCTGCTTCTACAAAAGCATCAGAGAAAGCAACCGTTGCGGTGTCCACCATCCGAGGGTACAAAAGTGCTTTGAAATATCTGTACAAGCGAAGGAAAGTACCCTTCACAGCGACGGGGATACCAAAAGATGTTTCATTGGACCTTGAATTGGAGGACAGTATGCATTCATACAAGAAGGTGGTCGCACAAAAGAAGAGCAAAGGGATAATGTCCATGGAAGAAGGTCGAACTGCTATCAACATGCAGCAGTATCGAATGTTGTGCAACTTTGTGAGACATATCAAACCTCGCAGGGGAAGCACAGAACCCGGGGACTCATGGCTTTTCGGTTGGCTATGCACCAACCTCATGTGGAACCTGGTATGTCGGAGTGAATCACTGGACATCCTTCATTTGGAACACCTGTCGTGGGAAGAAGACGCCATGAAAGTAGTGTTGCTTCGAACTAAAACGGACCAAGCAGGCATAGGCACGGATTTGAAGAGCACTCGTGTGAAACATGTTTTTGCGGCTCCGCACAGCCCTGAAATTTGCCCGATCCTCATTCTTGGGCTTTACACCTTTGCATGCAGGGGGATTTGCTTGTCAGAGCAAGGCAGCAAATTGTTTATTGGGAGGGACCAACGACATCGATTTCAACAGCTTTTGCAAAGGGTTCTACGCGAGGAACAACCTGACAACTTTGGGATTCCTGGCACGCACTCGTTAAGAAAGGGTGGTATTTCCCACCTTCTAGGGATGCTGGATGGCCCAGGTTTGATGTTTTATCAATCTGGAATGACTGCTGATTTTAACATGTTCAGGAGCACCCACAGTGTACATAAGAGCCAACTGGAAGATAGGTATGGCATGTAGGGATTTGGACTTCACTTCATGATACTATTATGTTTAGGAGATACACAGGATCGATACATTCTTGGTGGGACGGGAGGAGATCAGTTCGCGGGAAGAATACTGGCAGGGAACGATAGCACCACGGCCAATTTTGGGGTTTTGCCTCCGCATTTCACACAGGAAGGGTTGAGACAGGTGAAAGAGATAGGGTGGGAGCGTTTTGTCGATGGATACGAGCAATTCCCGAACGGTTTTAAGAAATGTACCGAATTCTTCCTTGCGAGCATTCTGTATCATCTCCCTACCTTACAAGGATGGTATCCTGACAATGATCATTTCATATGGGGCATGCCTATGTTTGGTATATTTGGTGCGGACACGATGAGAAGACTCATGTTGCTTCGAAAAGAGGTTGTCGTACCCGTGCACAGATGTACAGAATGTGGGATGACCGCCAGTGGAACCCCGTCCAAGACTGACATCTTGAGAGAACTGGGAGAAATCAGGCAGGAGATTAGGGCGCATTTCACCGGTTCAGCACTTCCATTCACAGTCGTTCGAAGCACAGAAGGAGGCGAGACGGTGGCAGGGCAGGCACAGGAATTATTCTTGTCAAACAGCAGCAATGCTACAACTTCCAGTGGACAGTGCAGTGCAACTAACAGACCAATGATGCAGGGAATTGAGACAGATGCAGGCATGGGCAGTGGTGGTGTATTCGGCCAATTGATGGCGGGATTCCAAGGTATCGTCAAGAAGATGGCGGAATTCGAAGGTATGGTCAAGAACGTGGTTGAGGCGCAGAATCAGAAGCAAACGGAGAGTATCAAAGAGTTGATACGGGCAGAGGTGATGCAGATTCTGGGCAGATTAAACATCCCCGCGATACAAGATGACCGAGTGGCCGGCCGCAATGATTCGAGGGAGATGATGGAGGAAGAACTGGATTCTCCAGCAGATGGACAAGGAGCTGAGGAAGAAGTGAACTCGAACCAATCCGCTCGCAGTGGGCAGGGAGTGCTACGTGCGAGCAGTGAATTGGAGGTAGGGGGAGACGATTTCGAGTGGGAAGGGGAAATGGATGGACGTGCTAAGCACATGGTTCCAAGCAACTTTACCTTCCCTTTGCGGGTGCCGACGAGGAGCATGTTCATGTGGTGGAATATTGGACAGGACATAATTGATGACACAGGTCAAGTGCGGAGGATCCGGCCATTCAAGTACCTTGGACTTGCACGGTACCGGGACGACATAACAGACTACAACACAAGGAGGAACATCAACAAAGCGAGGGTGGTCATGAATGAAGTGGAGAGGATTTGCCGGGAACGGGGGGTGCTTGCACAAGGAGAAGAGATTATGCCACAGAACTTGATGCAATGTTACAGAACAGGATTTCGTGAAGTGGTTGAGACAGTTTATGGGAAAGACGCATGGGTGGACCTTGGCACGCGGAAACGGTTTTGTTCATATTCGTACATTACTTACTACAAGAATCTGGGAATTATATGGAGAAGCAATCGGAGTGAAGGCGCTGCACCAACAGCTGAACAGATTGTTGCAGACCCATCAGCAGATGATGATGATGTGACAGGTGGTCCCGGTGAGGAGACACAGGCTGATGACCCTGCTGTGACCGACAGCACAGCCGGGAGCTATGCGGCGATGTTAAAGAGAAACTTGCCAGGGAAGTGAGCGGAAGTGAAGTTTGGTATAAAATAAAGATGCCAAAAGAGACGCGGACAAGAGAGGTTGGGATAGGTGGATGGAAAGAAGTCGCAAGCATAGTCTGTGAGGAGTGGGAGGGAAGGCTCGCAAGAAACCATCATGAATGCCAAGGAAGGAGGGGAGGGAGGGAAGAGTAAGAGAGATGAAACCTACCACCGGAGAGAAGGTAAAGGAAGGGAAATTTAGAATGGGACAAAGCAAGGAAGGGGCGGGGGGGGGGTGATGGGTGTAGATTAACAGAAGCAAATGGTAGGAGGAGGGATTGGAACATCATGATCATATGCACTAGACAGAAGAAAGACAGGAGTGAAGAAAGAGGGAAGTCCAGAGGATAGTTTAGGTTCATGCAAAGCCAAAGCCTGGAAGCCTGGAATGTGTGTGTAGATGATGAACTTGAAGGTGAACATGAATGGCTTTGAAAAAATTGCAGTTGATGGACACATTTATCGCGAAACATGCATAGTTTCAGTACCTTGCACGCATTGTTGGCGTGATCGTTTGAAATGCCTAAGGTTCAAAACTCTGGTACTAATTTGTACCGGCGATCAGTACTGATAATTGAGTAAATTACATATATATGCGGTACACTTATTTGTACCAGTTACTCTCTTTAATATTAATATATATAGAATTCTCTCCTTTTTTTTTGACTTAGTGAAAGAATCTTGAAGCGCCCTGCGAGATCCAGTCCTTGTATTCACCAATCGCGCGCGCATCAACCATGCAGCAACCTATGCAGGCTGAAGATCCCCACGGCGCTCCACTACGTGTTGGAGCAGGCGATGAAGAACCTAATGCAGTAGGCGTGGGAGAGCCATCTGAACTGTCCCATGCGGCCATGCAATTCAAGGGGGATGGGGAACAGCGCATGGTAGAGATCATCAAATGTGTCATGCAATACAACGATGGTGCCATATTTGAATGGGGGAAGAAGGAGAAGACGCTGAAGGAGGCTCAGGAGGCGCTCAACGGGCATCCTGTGTTTGCAGGGCAGCTGAAGTTGAACACCTTGAAGGACAAATGGCGCAAGATTGAGAAACAAGCTGAGGAAATCGCTAACGGAGGTGAGGAAAAATGGGTGAAGCTGTGGCAGAATGGTGGCGGGGAACTTTCAGAGATGCACCAGCTCATGCTCGATCTGGCCGGCCGGATGAAGGCTATGAAAGACCGGAAGGAGAGGGAGAAGAGGGATGCTCAGGATGAGGAGAATGACGCCAGGGAGAGGCTACAGGGTGCTATGGAGACCACCGCTAAACGTTGTGGTTATAACATCGCAGCACAGACTGAGCAGTGCTTAACTCCCTCCCCCGAGCCTGCAGATCCGAGTTCCGAGGAGGATAATTCTGTTCAGAAAACGCGCAAGAAGAATGAACAGGGAGGCAGCTATGGGCGTGGCACCTCATGCGGTCTACAGAAGCGCGCCAAGCAGGATCCAGCTCTGTATCCCAACGGGAAAGGGCCCAACCGCAAAAGCGGCAGCCCGTCCTCCGACCATGTTGCGGGCGTTCTCAGTCAGCAAGACCGCCTGTGCGATCTACTGGAGTCCTCTCAGGCAAACGACAGAGCCGTTATGGAGCAGTTTGGGAAGGCACAGGTCCTCAAGGCCGAGGCAGATATCATCAAGGCCCAGGCAGAACGAATTAAGGCGGAAGCTACTCGCTCGCAGCGGGCGGCCGATGCGATGAACGCGTTTCTGGCTTTGCATGACAGGGGTGTGAACATCCCAGATTATCTGGTGAAGATGCTGAAAGGGAACGACTAACGGTAGAGGTTTTCTTTATTGAAACTCATCTGCCAACGACAGGTAATCCTCCACAGACACATCCAGTACCATGTGCTCCCCTTCGAAGTATGCTGTTGTCTGGTTCCCATAAAACAGAGTGTGGATGTTGAAAATGAACATCGCAAGAGGAAAGAGCTTCCCAACCTGCTGGCTCCCCAAACGCAGATTGTGTCGGTGTTGCAGCATGCCGAAGTATTGAGTTGCCTCTCCAAAGCAATTCTCAATGACAATGCGAAAGCGGCCCATAAGGGCGTTATACCTCCTCTCCAGGCGCGTGAGCTCCCCTTCCGCTGGAGCCTTCAAGATGTGCTGCATGAAGCGGCTAAGGGGATACGCCGAATCCCCAAAACAGCAGAAGTCCACCCCCTGCTCCTCTGACACCTCGCGCAAGGTTTCAAGAACGTCAGACCGCCGAAACATTGTTGCATCGTGTTCACAACCCCTCCAAGGCCCCCACACGCAGCATATCCCATTCGGGAATACACAAGCCTGATACTTCAACCCGTGCAGCCTCTCCTTTCCGGCAAACGTCTGCCTGTCATGTAGGGTCAAGTTCCAGTTAGCATCACCCCCGGGTCGGCACGTGGGCTGTAAATGACCGTCAAAAATAGCGACAAGGTTGTCATGTGGACAACCCCAACTTCGCATGTGAGCAGCAAATTGGCTAAATCGATGCCTCCAAGGCCGCATGCTTGCCAACAAGATAGCGTACCTCTTGTGCAAGATTCTGACCATGTGATTGAAAGTTTCGGAAAGAACTGTGATGGACCCACCTAGAATATATACCAGATCGCACCACCGCGCAGGATATGACAGCCGACGCAGGAAAATCATGAAGGCTGAGTCTGCACGCACGGATGTCCTGTGCCCTCGCTTTCCAAACTTCAACAAGATTGGTTCGTCCCCTACCATCATTGGCTGCCCGTTATCATCCTTCAAGCATCGCAGAATGCGATGAAAATGTACTTTACGAAAACGGAACTGCTGCACGAATTCCACGTGCGAGAAGGAATCTGGCGTCTTCAGTGGTCCCTGCGATCCGGTCCGCTGAAAGGGCAGATTGACGATACGGTTGTTCATGTCCATCATAGACAACAAGCACACAAGCTCCCGCACCCGACGTTTTGAACGAAACAGCCAAAACAATGCATCACCAACCCCCATGCCAAGAAGCCGCATGCTCTGCCGTGAATGCTGCGAAATCGTGAGCATGAGAATCTGCATGATGCGCGCTGATGAGCGATTGACCACAGCCTTCTCCAAATGGTAGAGGAGGGTGCGCCTCCCATACATCCGTGGCGTGTCTCGCTGAATCGGCATGGTTGATGGGAGCAAGGGCACGGTTTGAATCTTAAAATGTTACTATTATCTTACAACATGACTTATTAAATTGCAATACCGAACACGTTTTCTGCGCGCGTTCTGAAATCTTAAATGTGGCCCACAATTGAGAATTCAGAATTGACCTGTAATTGGCGTACCGAACACGCCTAGTGGAATGGGGCTAAGAGCTCGTTAAAGGGGTACTACTGATGTTGTAACGGTTAGTTTGATTTGAAGTTACAAGGGGAGGATGGGGTGGTCTTTGTGGGCTCGCCTCAGAGTTGAAGTTTGAGTTTAAGTTTGAGTTTAAGGTTTAAGTTCAAGTTCAAGTTCAAAGTTCAAAGTTCAAAGTTAATCTAGTGATTAAGGTTTAGGGTATCGGAAACAGTCACTGAGTCGAATGAGTTTTCGTTCAAGTCAAGTTTATTGAAGATCAAAGAGATTTTTAAAGTTAAAGTTAAGGCCTGACATATGCGGACGAACGATATGTTCGTTGATCAGCAAGAAGAGGAACTTATAGAGACTGAGGATAGTATCGGGTTGTTGCTCAGCGCGACGCACTGCGGTCAGAGTCAAAGCGATGATGGTGTAGAGCTTGGTATGCTTCTGAGTTGCGATGGTGTAGTTGAAGACGGATCTGAGAGGTTGGTCTATGGCGCAGTGAACTGAGATGAAGATATCGTTGTTGGTTGACAATGTATCGACCATGTTGTTGATGTAATCCCTTGTTGGGACGTGGGTAGAGTTGGGGGTCTGAGTGAGGTCTTTGTCCCAGAACATGATGATCTCGATGCATCTTTTTGCGAGTCCCAGGCTTCAAGAACCAGGCTCGCGTCCGATCGCCAGGTGACCGCCTGTCAGGAGGCTATCACTCAGACCCGGGCTCCGGGAGGCTCAGTAACGTAGTAAACGGCCCCGCCGGGTTGCCTGATCGGCTGAGTGAGTTGCATAGCTGATTGGGACAGCGCAGATCTGACTAGGAAAGAAAATTGCTGTCCTACG